CTCAGAGTACAACTTTAAAAAAACATTTACTCATCCACACTGGAATTAAACCATTTATCTGTGGTCAGTGTGGAAAAGCTTTTACTCAGAGTACAGCTTTAAAAAAACATTTACTCCTCCACATTGGGGTTAAACCATTCACCTGTGATCAGTGTGGACTGTCTTTCTGTCGCATGAGTTCCTTGAAAGAACATCAGGCCATCCACACTGGCATTAAACCATTTGTCTGTGGTCAGTGTGGAAAGGGTTTTACTCAGATTAAAAATTTAAAAGAACATCAGCTCATCCACACTGGAATTAAACCATTCAGCTGTGATCAGTGTGGAAAATCTTTTACTCGGCGTAGAAACTTAAAAAAACATCATCTCCTCCACATTGGTGTTAAACCATTCACCTGTGATCAGTGTGGACTGTCTTTCTGTCGCATGAGTTCCTTGAAAGAACATCAGGCCATCCACACTGGCATTAAACCGTTTGCCTGTTGTCAGTGTGGAAAGGGTTTTGGTTGCATGGATGCATTCAAAAATCATCAACTAATCCACACTGGAGTTAATTAATTTTTTATTGGTCAGTGCTGAAATGCGGCCACTTCTATGTAAACATTTTAAAAAATCAGATTGTTCACACTGCAATTATAGCGTGTATTTAATTGTGGTAATTGTGAAATTTGTGGAAACTCTTTCATTTATAACAAATGTTATTGAGGCATCAGCAAATCCACAACATATGTCGTGCTATGACAAAACTGGCAGACCAATGTGACATTACTCTGACAAAGTTCTTTTGGACATATTAAGGTTGAAGAGGCTCTACCGATTGCAGACTTCTATACCTGTCATTGTACTGGGTCTTTGACCCAGTGTTTTGGGCTTATTGACATTAGCATTCCATTTGATTGAATATTGTAATATTTAATGTTTATTTCTATTTATGTTCTTTTCATTGTTTTTCTGCTTGATGTAATATTTGTAATTTCTAGTCTTTAGGTTCTGTTATCATACCTCCCCTCTTTTTCACATTCTGTGTTTTGTCAGTAGTGGCAATGCTAGCCTGTTTGGTGCCCTGGGCGAACACCCACTCTGCCCCACACCCACAGATAAAATATATGTATGTTGAGGATTGTACATGCATATAAAACATATTTTACTGTAAAAACTGTTGTTGGAACCATACTGAATTTAGTCAGATAAACACATATACAGTGGGGCAAAAAAGTATTTAGTCAGCCACCAATTGTGCAAGTTCCCCCACTTAAAATGATGACAGAGGTCAGTAATTTGCACCAGAGGTACACTTCAACTGTGAGAGACAGAATGTGAAAAA